CAACAATATTAGTTGAATCCTTCTGACTGACAAACTTCACTGACAGTGTGCTGAGCAAAGCAGATGTTTCACTGGTGCCCCCCACCTCGCGGTAGCATTAGCTCCAGGTGATGTTTTGTGAACTGTCACAGGTTGTTGGTTATGTCAGATGGGACAGTACAAATGACTGTGGTTAGATCAAATTTGTCCACATGTTTTAAGGATTTGTTAAGACAGTATTTCATAATCTGATACAAAGCAGCAAGAACTAGTTTGTGTTTCTGCCCTAATTAATAATTTTTAATACATATTTCTATTTGTGAAATCTTTTTTAAGGACATTGTTTTAAAATTATTCAGTATTAGTCTTTTTTCCCTTAGTACCAAAAACCTGTTGGCATCGAGTTGATTCTGCCTGACTTAGTAGAGACCTTTTAATTTCCCTTGTAGTACTAAAAGCAGTGTATGTATACGTAAGATACCTACCTAGACTTTTTTGGCATGACTTTATTTCTGTGGTATATGTTCACATGAAATAATCTAATTCTGAATTTCTCTTTTATTTTTCCCCTCCCCTTCAGCTTAATGAGTGGTGTTAAGAATAACGTTGGACGAGGCATCAATGTTGCCTTGGTAAATGGTAAGAAGAATTATTCTAACTTAGGGGTATAGTCAGTGAATATTCCTGTGCCCAAAGTAATTGTCAAGGGATCAGATTGGGAAATGCACGCTTGACAGTGAAGTAAGTGTTTCCCTTCCTCAATAACAAACAGGAAACTGTGATGGAGACTCGGTGTCCAAGAATTTGTAGCATCCTTTCTCAGGAGCATCTCAGCTTGTGTGGAGAGCTTCCCACGTACTAGTCGGGGAATAACTAATCTAGTATGAAGTTGATGAAAGGAGCCCTGGGGGCATAGTGGCTGAGTGATTGGCTGCTAACCCAGACGTCAGCAGTTCGAACTCCCTATGGTTCCGTGGGAAAAAGGACCCAGTGATCTGTCCTCATAAAGACTACAGCCTAGGAAACCCCGTGGAGCAGTTTTGCGTGTCAGCAGAATCAACGAAACAGCACACAGCAACAACCACAGTGTAATATGAAGATAAAGGAATGAGAACATAATGACAGTGTGGTGGGCTATTGGATGTGTTAGTAGGAGGAGCAGAGAGCAAGAGTTTACTGTAATTTTTCTGTTCTGTCCACGCATTATGGTAGGTTTAGTAATGGAAATCAGTTCACTGAATTCTGTGGGTGTTCCAGCAATTGATGACAAAATTAATCTGAAAATCTGAACCCGTCAAGAGAGGCCTGTCGCATGCTGGTCCTCTCTGTTCTGCTCCACCGACTGGAAGGCTGTGCTGGGTAGTTAGAAGCCAGCAGCCCCTTACCCGCTTCATCAGTGGGGAAATATTTTTTCACAAGAGGCAGATGTTTTGTTATGTTTCTGCTTGCTTCATTTTATCAGTTAAAAAGTTCCGATTTGTCTATTTAATTGATAGGAAAAGAGAAAAATATAAAAGGGGAAAACTTAAAAATCTATATTTAAAAAAGATGGCTTTTAATGATAGAACATAACATCTGACTCAAGGAGAGATTTCTTTTCACAGGAAAGGTTTATCCATTTTGGGGTAATTCTTAAATGAGGGAAGACGGTAACACATAAAGCTGAAAAATCTTTGACTGTTAATCAGAATGGTCTGCAGTCAGTAGGAAGTTCCATTGGCCACTCATGGCTTAAACGATTAGTGAAAAAGTCCTGTGGGAACACCCAAACATTATCCTTACAAATGTCCTTCAAATGCATACAGTCCAGATCTTAAGTCTTTGTCTTTGCTAATAAATTCACATCAAATTGGGGTAGGTTCATTTGTCTTAAACAGTATCCAAGATATTTCAGTTACATAATTTGGTATGAATTTATTCTCTTTCAGGGAAAACAGGAGAAGCCTTAGACACTAAATATTTTGACATGTGGGGAGGAGGTAAGTGTAACTAACAAGTAACTCTGGTTCGGTTCTAGCACTGACCTCTTAATCACCTCCCACAATGGAGTGCATTCATGAGGGAATAACGTACTGTTTGTGTGTTCATCCCTTTTTGTTCTTTCATATTCTTTTCACCAAATGCCCAGCTATATTTAAGCGATCCAGCATACAATCATATTGAATATACTATTCTTTTTAGAAAAATTGACTCTGGTGTTAATTGCAGACAATAATGTAAAAATTGAGGTTTTAAAAATATGCATCCCATTTTGTTCAGGACAACTAATTCTAAGATTGGTGAAATCTGGGAGCTTTTGGCATACAAGATAAACAATCAGCCTTTGGGAAAGGAGCAATTAGTTATTCACCCCAGTTCCACCTGTGACATGTGGCTAACTATGAAAGTAGGTGTGGTTTTCTTTCAAGTTTTGTGGACTTAGAGCAGTCCACAAATATTGCCCTCTATGTATTTGGAAGTCCATCAAGAAGTCACCAACAGCAGGCAGAGACAAGGCCCTGACACACCCAGAAGAATACTGCCCAAGGAGTTCATTCCTCATTTGAAGGAAGGCCAGCTGTGGTTTATCTTTTTGATTCTTCTCTAGGTTGTTTGTATTGGAAATTTACCAGCATGGCACTCTCCCTTGCTCCTTTTAAACATTCCCTAGAAACAAGTTAGTCAGCTTTCTAAGGTTTATGTTAAGAATTTTTAGAAAATTCAGCTGTTCTAGCATTTCTTCATTTTTTAATACAATCGTATTACTTATTAAATGGGAGTAGAAGACCCTTTCATAGCTGGCAAAGCCATGTAAACTAAAAAGCAACCATCAGTTTCTAAAGTAAAGGCATGATTGGCCCCACC